ACATATATATTTTTTAAACTGTACTTACCTTTCTCTAAACTAATGCTTAAGAAGTTAACCCCTAGTTATGCATATTTACTTAGCTGCTAGTTACTCACGTATCGGTTAAAATAACAGCTAATATCATTTAATAATAGCTAAAAAAATTGATCACTTGTAGGCACCAGACACCCTGCCAAACTGGTAAGATTACACAGATGACTGAATGTAACTTCATAACAGTCCTATGAATGAAATGACTGTTACTATTGTTACTGTTTCCCAGGTAGGTTAATTGGAGTCTGCGGAGCTGAGTGGAGTTAGCTGTTTAAGGAGCTGGGCTTGGAAGGCAGGCTGAGTCTCCTGGGAAAAAGGCAATCACAGTGAGATCCTTCTTAGAGATCCCAGGTTTAGTTAGCGCCACTGCATTCTTGGTGCTTCTTCATCTGCTACAAGAAACAAGGGACTTTCCGCTGAAAAACAAAACAAAACAAAATGGAAAAAACAACCCTTCCCTTCTGAGGAGAGACATTTTTAATGACCCCAAGGGAAATAAATTTCCTGGGTTCTAGAACATTTTATTTAATAACAGCATTTTGGGAAATCACTATGTCAAATGTACACAGGTTGTGAGATGCATTCCAATTTCAGAAATGTAAACCTATGGTAACATATGCATCGGAGAATTGAGGGAACTTTATTTGTCACTGAAAATACCTTACTGAGGCATTGGTGAATGTGGGAGGGCAACTTCCATTCTCCATTTTGAGAGGAAAGAACTGATCAAGGAGAGTGACCAGTTAGGCATAATAAGTATCTGTGTTTCGTCATAGTTGTGATCATTTTATTATCATTATTATTATTATTATTTGTGGGGTGGGGGAGAAAGAGGGAGAGAAACTTTGGTGTGAAGGAGAAACACTGACAGGTTATCTCTCATACATGCCCCGACTGGGGACTGAAACCACCACCCAGGCATGTGCCCTGATGGGGAATAGAACCAGGGACATTTTGCTTTGCAGGATGATGCCCAACCAACTGAGCCACACTGGTCAGGGCATGATTTTTTTTTTTAAGTTTGTGAAAAGGTAAAAGTAGAATGTGTGAGCGTCTAATTCAGTGTCTGTGTGTCCTTTCCATTTCCATGCAGCACTTCCCCTTCACTCTCATTACCTTACATAATAAGAAGATGCTATTCATTGTAGGTGGGAAGGTTGCATATTTCAGAATTTCCCTCCCCGCAAAGAGAAAGGGGTAGGACTGGACTCTCTGCCAAGCTGCTTAGTGGGAGTATACCTTACATTATAAAGAGTCTTCATTTTCCTGGGGAAGGTAGAATTTAAGACATTAAGCCAAATGTTGTTATTGTCCTTTCTTTGGAACTTAGTAAAACATTGAAAAAGACAATACGGCTGGATCCTGTTCTGATACTAATGCCTGTAATTATAGGAGGATTCAGGGGCTGTTTAGAATTGTAATATAAGCTCTGATTCTTGTTAGTCTCCGAGGCTCAGGGCAACCGTCAACCTTATATTTCCATACACTCAACTCTAAAGGTCTGGGATAGATGAAGGGAGGAAACAGTCACATGAGTAACAGCGAAATAACCTAGACTGTGTGAGCCATTTGCACTGGTGTGCCTTTGACTGCAGCCGGGCTTCGCGTTCTGTGAGATCCCGGCTTGCCATTCAGCTCCTGGCTCCCTTCAGACGCAGGGCAGGTGGCGTTGGACGACTCCGACAGTGCTGTCCTGGCTTGGCTCATGGCCCTGGTGGCAACAGCGTAGGAGGCTTATTGAAAGCATTTTTCTGTGAGATTAAAGAGATCACTTCTACTTACCTCTTTTCTTTTTCTTTTTCCTAGGCTATGGACTGAGAAAGAGAGAGAGAACAGGTGACAAAAGAACAACAACAACAAAAAACAACCCCCCCAAAAAAACACATCTAGGGTGATCGAAATCAAGTCTGACTAGTAAACCAGGAATCAAGTAGCATCCAATTCCTGTGCACCAATTGGCCCAAGGCTGGTTGCTAGGGGCAGGGAAATTGGCCCCTTCAATTTTGTCCTCCTCTCTGTGGAGCGGGGTGCCCCTTCATAGACTTGTCCTCTTTTTCCCGTCCACTTTAGCAAGGGAAGTTCAGGACTGAAATTTACCTTTGAATCCTGCAGGTAGGGGAAAAGAGGTATCCTCTTTGTATTTTGGGAGTTTACTAAAATTGGCTCCCCTCTTCAGAAGCGGAACACCAGGAAGGCAGGATAGAGTCCAGGAGGCGGTGGATGCTGGAAACATTCAGGATCCAAGGCCATTTATCTGCTACTGCTCTGGCCTTCTAGATTGAGGGTAATGGAGAACCATTCCACTCCAGCGCTGGCAGCTGGCTGAGCAAGGGTCCTGCCCCCACTTCCCTGCTTCGGGGACAGTGTCCCCCACAGCTGCCGCTCTCCACTCTGTATGACCTGTGGCCATCTAAGGAAACCTGGACCATCCCAAGAACCTGAGCCCTCTTGTCTGTAGGTGCCATTTGGCAACCAGTGTCACTGGGTCATCTATACAAATCTAGACTAATCTCTTCTGCTTCATGTCAGGTAATTAAATGAGCTTTACCTTGAGGATCCCAGCCACGTTGGCTACCTGGTCTTCCTCCAAGGTGACCATGAGAGAATGGACAGCAAACTTCCTAGACAGTGTTAATGAGGGGATCACTGCTGCCCTCGCACCTGTCACCACTACAGAAGCGTGGAACTTTAGCCAGCTTCTGTGCCTCGGGCGTGATGCAGCAAGGAGAATTTCCTCTTGGCCACTTGCATCCCTCTGCCAGAGTTAGCAAGTCAGGATCAGACTGGGAAAGTACAGCCCTCAAAGGACCCTTTTGGGAAGGGTGCTGGAGACTAGAAGGAGGATTTATTAGACTTCTGAATGGAGGAGCTTGAGCATTTGCATCTGGGGTTTGGGTGGTACAGGTTAGTTACCCCTCACCCCAATTATGTGGAAGCACAGCACCCAGACCTGCTACTTGTGAGTTCCTCCACTTGACACTTGTGAGAAATTAGTTCCACTTTGAGAACCTGCTACCAGAGTCTCTCCCACCAGCCCCCAAACCCTCTGCCCTCTACCCCAATTCACCCATTGAAGGTTGCACCAACTTGACCAGAGACTACTGGAGTCTAAACTGCCCTAACCTGTGTGGCCAAATGGTCCTTACCGCAAAACATGCTTGTGAAATCTACAATGAGGTCCAGGACGTGTAAGAAATGAATATGAGGATGTCAAGTTTTGTGCGATACTGGGAAACTCCCAGCCCAATTAAAAACCTCCCGTAACTTACTTTTTATTCACTCCCCAGTGGAAGTGACTGTGTTTCTGTGGAATCATTTCAGCCTTTGTTAATCATTTTTTTCCCCCTTAATCTGAACCATTTTGATGACCTTTTTATTTTGTTTTTTCATCCTGGTACCTTTAATGCCAATGCTCTGGCGTTTGAAACAGAAGTAGAGCCTGGCATAGACTTAGTGATATGTACAGTATATATCATGTCACTTAAATATATATTTTACACAAATTATTGAAGAAATAGGGGATGCTTCTAAAATGAGAACTATTTCCTGTCCATGAATCCTCGAATGGGGATGAATCTTTAAAGGCTGCAGACGCCCTGGTTGGGGAGGAGAGGGGAACCTCAGCAGAGCAAGTGATGCCTCGGAGTTATGAAAAATTTTGAGAAAAGTGAGTTATAGCAGCAAAAACAGTAATAGACACAAAAAAATAGCGCAAAAAAAAAAATCTAAGAAAAGCTTGAGAGAAAGTCAGACACATACTATTAATAGAACAGAGGTTCAGGCCAGAGGCAGTTTCCATAGAACAAGTAGGAGGGGTCAAGAGACTGTACATACCCAGATGCTAAGAGGTTACCAGTAAAGTAGACGTAGTGGAAGAGATGGGCGCTCTGGGTCTGTGTAGACCTGAGTGATCTTGACTAATAATGACATTATCGCTTTAAATGAACATAGTTTTTGTATCCACGTTTTCCACTATTTATGGTGGTTTGGTTGTGCAAATGAACCACATGTGGGGGTTGGAGAGGAAAACTGAGGGCATCAAGGAATGCTTCTCAGAGGCACTTCCTGGCACCGAGGAAAACGGCTCCAGCCATGACCCGTTCCCTCCCACCTCACGGATCCCTCAGATCTGAAGCACCGCCGGAATCACTGGGTACTTTTCATTAGTTCTTTGCGGACATGTTTTGCCCTCCACTAGATTACAATGTCAGTGAAGGTAAGATCTGTGTCTATTTGGGGTATCCAAGCTTTCTTTTGCACCTGGTACCTTAATAGACCTCTATTTTTTTTTCTCCTTCTCCCCTTCCCCCTCTTCCTCCTCCGACCTGGTGGGCTTCATAGGCAGTACTTCTCAAATTTTAATTTCCAGTCGAATTGTCTAGGGACCTGGCTAAGTTACAGATTTTGCTCCAGTAGATCTGCAGTTCTAACAAGCTCCCAGGTGAAGTCAATACGCTGATTCCTAGGGACTATCATACTTTGGGTTGAAGGGTGCAGCAAAATGAGCGCAGGCTTTGGAGTTGGCGTCCTTGGTTCAAATACAAGTCCTGTCTCTTAGTAGTTGTGTGACTGCGGGCAGGGTAAGCCTTTCCCCTTCTGTCTAAAATGAGATATTCACAGCAGAGGGTTGTGTTGAGGATTCAATAAAATAATGTATGTAGTGCGCAGTCAGAATAGGGTCCTAGGAAGAGTACAATAAAAAAAAATCACGGTGTGGGGGCGGGGCCAACGCCGGGAGGGGCGGGGCTCTGCCAACCCTCGCCGGGCGCAGCTCCGCGTGTGCAAGATTCCGGCGAGACGGCGGCGGGGGCTCTGGTTCACAGGTGTGGCTTGGGCTACCCAGAGCGCGGGGTGCGGCAGGGTTTCGTGGGGCCTCGCTAGAGTTTTGGGGCCACGCCGAGGACACTTCGATGTCACTGTCTCCAGTCCGCTGGAGCGGGCGCGTGACCTGCCCGAGTGTTTCCGGGTCGTTTGGCCACCTTGGCCCCGCGGCCGGAACGGCGCAGGCCGGGCTGGAACTCCGGGGGGTCCCCGGCCAGTGAGAGTCGGGAGCAGCCACAGTGCACCGGGGAGCACGGTGGGAGCAGGGGGCCGCGGTGATGCGGGGTAGCGAGGCGCGGAGGGTCGTTAAGGTCCGCGGCCCAGGCGCCTCGGAGGTTGCTTGGCTCTTGACGGTGGGAACCTGAAAAAACTGGGCTTGCTAATTAAACCCAGAGACGTAGCTGAGAAACCTTGTTCTGCAACGTCTCACCTGCAAGAGACCTGGCTGTGTGAAACCATCAGCCAGGCTGATTTCCAGCTTCGGTGGACAAATGAGGGGTTTTCGGATGCAACATTGAACATTGTCTTAAGCTTCTGTGCCTTGAGTCAGCCTCTCAGCCCAGTGAGATGGTAACCCCGTGACGCACAGCCCTGCTTGTCCTTTGAGCCCATCAGAGGACTTTATTTTAAACTTCACTTAGGTTCCATCCTTCTCCAAAAGCATGTCTACTTTTGTTCCTCCTCTGCCACTTAGTAACCTAGCTTTGTTTTGGACAGTATGCCTTTGGTGGTCTTATCAAATTGACTTTATCCCTCGTTATGAACGCCTCTCCAGAGCTGAGGGACTTGGAATGTAAAATTGTGTGTGTGAGAGGCACACATTTTCAGGCAAGGTAATTTATTTATTATACAGTGTTATCTGGATTTTATTGTTTGAACCCTTAACCTCATCCTCTCCAGCAAACAAAACACAGTTTTACTTGGATTCCTTACACTGGGTCTGGCTACAGACAGGCCTTGTTTTGTTCTTTTCACCCCTTGAACATTAGAAATAACTCTTTAAGAGCTCCCTGTACTGATCGGGATTTATTTCCTGTCAGTAATGTCCAGCATTGTCGTAAACAGCAAAACAACTCTCCCTACCCACTCACCTGCCTGGTGGTTATAAGTTCTTCTCCTCCTCTTCTTCCTCCTCCTCTTACTCCTTCCCTCCCTCCCTTTCCTCCCTTCCTTGCTCCCTTTCCTCCCTTCCTTTTTCCCCTCCCTCCTTCCTTCCTCCCCTCCCTCCTTCCTTCCTTCCTTCCTCTGCTTCATTTCTTTTACGTAAGAGTAATAAAATTTTAATCTTTTAGTTCCCAGGGTGATCACATTATCAAAGTGAGAGAAGGGAATTTGGGGAGAAGGGACACCTGATAACGATTTTAGTAGGATAATCCTACAAAGGTAGGGCATTTAATTACCCCCATCCTTGGGCACTGTGAAAAAGACTCAGAAGTGAATGGAGTAAATGCAGGACAGTGAGCAGAGCTGGGGCTGCTGAGTGTTAGAGAACATACCATCTGCACAAAGGGCAGAGAACAATGTGACAAAGAGCATACCTAGGACAGTATCAAAATATTGAGATTGAAAGCTGTGGTTCTCCTGTCGTTCTTGACTTTAGGGTTGTAAGGAGGCAGAGTAAAAACTTGGGTTTACACTTCATATATCCAGTAAGAGTCTATATGCTATTTTCTTGTTATATAGCCCTTTACTGTGGTTAGCTTCTACTTTAGAGAAAGAGAATAAAGACTCAATCCTCTCTTTTGATTAGATTTTATTTTAATTACAGGAAGAGAATCAGGATTTAAAGTCCAGTCTTGCCACTTACTAGGCGATTAGGTCAGTTTTCCTCCTCATTTGGTCCTTTGGCCTCCTGTATGATCGTTAACTGGAGTTATCTGCTGCAGGGCAAATTACTGGGGCACCCAGCCTGCAGTTGCTCAATCAGAACCTGGGGACTGGGGAATTGGAGGCCGAGGCTCAGGCATGCGCATTTTAACAAGCTTTTGGGTGACATAGTTTGAAAATACTGTGAGAATAGTAGCTGTTCAGGAACAAGAACCAGTTATTGCTCAGCTTTGTATAAAATGCCTGGGCTGTTGCATGTAGTTCAATATATGTTGTGTAAATAAACGAAAAGCTCCAGCTATAGACGTGTATGACTTACAGAATAACCTTATTTTTGTAGAGTATTTTACAAGCTTTCACAGACCGTACCTATTAGATGATACCTTAATTCCTAGTTCAGCTAAAAAATTACTCTATCTCCCACACTTTTATATCCTTAGACAGTTTTAAAATTGTAAGTCCATAAATTATTCTGTTTACAGTACCTTCTTCCATTCTCCTCTCTGCTTTATCCAATGACTTTGGTTCATTGTGCCCATAGGGCAGCAATTTTCAACATTGTTCATCTCACAGCACACAAAATCTAATTACTAAAATTATGCAGCACACCAAAAGGTGTATTTTTGTCTGAGAAAAAAATTGGCATGATTTATAGGTATAATTTTTATTCATTCACACCAGATGGTTGTGTTGGCTGTTGTCATTTGACAGTTTTAGGGAAGAGAAGTCAGTGCCCCCAACTAAATACTGTTATTGCATGTTTTAAAAATTGTTGTAGTACACTGGTTGAAAATTGCTGCCCTAGGGCATGGAGATTGAAAACTAGGAACTTGGGACATCTCTTAATACAAATAAGTAACCGGTAACTTTGGGGTTTTATTCCTCTACAGCTAATCATTCAAACTGTGGGAATTAACTGGAGTTATTTTTGTAGAAACGGTGTTATGTTTGAACATGCTCATTTAGGTTTACACATATTTGTTGTTAAACTTAGGATGGCTCGCACTTTGGAACCCCTGGCAAAGAAGATCTTTAAAGGAGTTTTAGTGGCTGAACTTTTGGGCGTTTTTGGAGCGTATGCTTTGTTTAAAAAGATGGACACAAGCCAAGGTAATCATAGATGAGAAGTTAGCATATTATAGGGGGTATGCAGTTTGCTTCTGCATTTTAAGTGCGAGATGACATTTTTAGAGAAACTGCTTCTTCCAATTCAGCATTATTAGGCATTTTTATGGCCACAAGGGAAACTAGGTATCAATTATTATAAATTATTCTTAATTTCCTCCTTAAAAATTAGTATTTGTATTTGTAGACTAGGGGAAAGGTTTCCTACTTCCCGGAGTCTTACTAGTGGGGGGCATAGAGCAAGTGTCCTATGTCTGGCTTCTTTGGGGAGCACAGTTGGAGCAAAGTGCACCTCGTCCTTTGGTAGACTGAGTAGTGTAGTTGAATTGTCACCATTTTCTTAGGTTCACTGAGCCCTGTCTGCATCAGTACGGGGCACTGAAAACTTTTGCTGTGCCACTGGCCGTCACTGAAAGTGCTTTGACATTTCACAGGGTGATTTTTTTTGAGCTCACATATTTTAAGTTAAGAAGTGCTGCTTTCTTTAACCAAAGCAGGCCTGAGTGGTGGCCAACCTTGAAAGGTGTCACTTGTTTTCTTAAAAGTACTTCACTAGAACATTGTTACATGATAATTTTGGATAGTCACAAAGTCTCTATACTTTTAAACTCTTCAGGGTGGGTATAAATCATCCCAACAGTATTTAAAAGCAAATCAAAGTTTAAAATCAACTTAAAAAACAAAGTCTTATTTCTAAATCCAAAACAAGTTGCATCCATAAAAGTAATTCCCTTACGGAAATACACATTAAAAATTTGCTTTTAAATATTTCTAAGTAACTTATATCATGTATATAGGCCAAAATTTTAAAAACTACAAAATTACTACAGATGGCTATATGTAAGGCAAGTGCAATTTAGATCCAAAAGGATATAGTTCCTGGATTACCAAAAGGACCTTAAGAAATTTTTCTGCTCTGTGGGATTCCTAGTTGATAGACCCTAAGGCTAGCACTATATTATGGCTGCATGAATTAATGTAATTAATTCCTAATGTCTAATTTAGATTTTTTCCCCCCCATCAGATTTCAGGCAAACAATGAGCAAGAAATTTCCCTCCATCTTAGAAGGTATGTTTCAGGTAGCCCATTCATCTTGTAGGTATTTATCGAAACTAAGTAGTAATTTTTCTTACGCTCAACTAAGAGCTAAATGACATTATTTTGTGATATCAATTTCCAAAAGGAAAAAAAAAATTCATACCTATGTTAGCACCTTCTGAGAACAGAGTAAACTCTTGCTGAGAGTAACCTACGAGAGAGCAGTTAGCTCTCGGGCTGGATACCTGAGGTGGGGATGGCATCAAACCGCAATTTAAAATTTAAAACACATCTTAGGTTTGCTAACACCATGGAGCCGTTTCCTTCTCTGTCAATTAGATAATTATGCCCACTACACAAATTGTTTTAAGGATCAAACAAGGTAACACTGTGTAATTAGCACAGTATTTGCCTAATAGTGCTCATTACAATGATTACTACAGGCGCTTCTACATGAAATATGTAGCAAGAAAGAAAATAAGCTTGATGGTTCTCAATAGTTTATTTTTAACGTTTACATGATTTTATAAATGACAACTATTTTTATTTATAGTTTATTACAAATCCATTGAATGTTCTGGAATGTATGGAATCCGAGAGCAGGATCAAGAAAAATGGCTGAACAACAAAAGTTAGGAGTAAGTAGAATTTTAATTTATAATTTGTTGAGAAAACACTCATTTTCTTTGCTTCTTAATTTTCTGAGTAGTTTTTGGTCTCCTCTTTTTGAAATTCTTCTTTTTCTTGATGATACTTTTCACATCTCTGTTGTGTAGCCAGTCATCACGTTCAGCCTCCCACCTAAGCTGCTTGAGGCCTTTGGGGGAGAAGAAAGATGAACACTCCACATTGCAGACTCTTGGAGGCCCCTAAAACACCCCACTGAGTGACAGAACTTCTGGTCTACAGTTGTTTCTGTCCACTCTGCAAACCCCCCGCTTGTTGTTACCTTCCCTCCGTACTTAGGACCAAAGATTGCCGTTTTAGAAAGAAGAGACTAGGACAGGAAAGGAACAAATGCTCTGAAGATTTTATTTCCCCTGAACACTTTTATTAGCAAAAGGACAGAAGCCAGTAACTATCAATATCAGAAAAAATTAAAGCGTCTATAAAGTATTTAAAAAGTTACTTAGCCAACTCATACTATATAATCTTCAGAAGTTCTAAGTATGACTATTAAAAAACCTCAATTAAAAATTCAAGTTACTTACTTGCATTATCTTTGTTAGCCATGGCATTCATGCCAATGTTGTCAAACTTGGATCCCATATTTTCATCCAATAGGTGGCCAAACTTTAAAAAAAGGGGAGGAGGGGAGAGGTACTTTTATTAGAAAACTTAGAACAAAGTTGAATAGCTAACTTCTTAAAGTAGTATAGTAGCCTTACCTCTTCAGCAGATACAAACAGGTCGGAGTCACTGAGATTTCTTTTCTTTTTTCCCCTGGGTCCTAAAAAGTATAAGCCTAGATCATTCAATTGTAAATCCAGTGATTTTTGAAAAATATACATCTTTCAATACAGTTTTGTTAAAAAATATATTTGGGCTAAAATACACAATTGCAATTATTATCTTCTATCACCATTAGGTAGCTGGCATTTAAAGATAGAAATATGTTTAAGAGTTAGTATATACTACTTTTTTAAAAGGTAATATCCTAATAGAATTGTTCAGATGACTATTATATCTTTTTGCCTTTTCAGATTTGGCCACTGATCAAGGTTTACCCAATTTCACAGTATCAGGCAAGATTAAAATTCCAAAGTTGACATGGATGGGTTTTGGAATATTTAAGACAAAATGTAAATTCTAATTAAGCCAGAGTTTTTATTCTTTGGACTATTAAGAAATTACTGAAGGTATGTTTATTACATAATAAATAAAGGTTTGTTTATAATACTCAGTGATTTTCCTTTAAAAATATCTATCTAATTAACAAAGAGCATATCAAACGACACAGAGTTAAGAGTTGGTTGAGAAAAGGCAAAAGGTGTTTATGGAAAATGTAAGGCTTAAATATAACTGAATGGTTTAAACATGAATGAAAAAAGTGATCTAGAGATATTCAGATGTGTATTCAGATTGAAATATATAAAATTTATTTTCCATTGTAAAAATAAACTAAATTGCACCAACAAATAATTTAGAAAAGTTAATTTCCTGAAATAATGAGTAATATCTCTCATATGCACAACGCTTATGTTTCAAAGAGACTAATAAATACATTTTCTTACCTTGAAATGATCCAGCAAAGTCAAAATCATTTGCACCTTTCCTCTTGCTTTTCTTAGAACTGACTTTGGAGCTGACTTCATCATTAAGTTCTATTACCAAAAAAAGTGCTGTTAAGTAATTTAAAAACAACAGGACTACTCTAGGGTTATGAGATGAATGATGAATATTGACTTTTAGAAACTAATAATTACTATTCTATTATTTAAAAAAGCAACCTAACAGCTCAACAGGTATCGCACACATAGCCTAAATGTTGATTAAAATATAAGTCCAAAACTCAGCACATTCAACAGAAAAACTAGCCTTTGCTGAGGAAGAAGATAGTTTGTTTCATTCTTGTATTTTAAAAAGTGCTTACCCTGAATGCCCTCACCTTCATCATCCAACACGTCCATGAATGTTCCTCCATCTTCATCAATTTCAGTAAATTCTTCATTCATACTTCCTATAGAAACTTCATCATCATCCAAGTTATCAAGGTCATCATCACTGTCTTCTGAATCTCCATCTTCTGGCTCACCCTTAACTCTTTTTGTTTTCTTTTTCACATTGCTGAAGAAAGATGGAAACTTGTAATGTAAAAGAGGATGCTGTTTTTTAAAATGTGATTTGGTGACTACCAGGGTATTAGGCTATGAAGAGGTTTAAAAGGAGAGTTACAGAAGGCCCTTTATTTAACATGCATTATGAAGGTCCAAAATGAAAGTACTGGATTCACTTTCCAAACTTACTCAAGAGGAACAGTTTGGAAAATGCTGAGGAAGCAGTGAAAAAAACATAATGAAGAAATGTATTTTACCCAGCAAAATCAAGATCATCCTTTCCAGAGGTGAAACAATTATCATCTTCAAATGTATCTGCCAGAGAACAATATACAAATTGTAAGATACAGCAAAGAATAACTAAGTTGATGTGTCTTTCTTCTAAATCAAGTAACACTCAGGATTCTGTTTATGACAAACACCAAAATAAACCTATGAATATACTGACCTTAATTAAATTCCTAAACTAATATGCGGTCCAGTTAATTTTGGATTCCATCAATAGTTCTTTTATAAAAGGAGGGTAAATAGCAAATATTTAACAACTGCAGTCCTTTTTACTTTATTAGAACTATTCAAGTGAACTCAATGTAAGCCTTTCTAATTTCCCATGTTTTCTCTTCAGTTTAAATTTCAATTAAGGTTTTCTAGCTCTGTGGAGTATGAAGATAAAATAGATGAAATAGTAGACTACTGCTACCAATAATGCAAGATTAGTAACAGTAAAAATGGTTTCTCTTTTATCAAAGATTTGGCCTTAAGAATGAATATATTCATGTAAATATATTTTTTCCTCCATGAATTTGTCATGTGAATTATCTCACCGAAATATTTTTTAATTCTCCATAGTGATTTGCATGGTATTCTTAGTTAAATGATTTTTTTAAACTAAGGCCACTTCTACCACTGATACTCCATGAGTTCTATAAATAAATAGTAATAAATTATTTTACAAATTGAAGAGTCAACAAATTACCAATCATCTTTTCAAATTCCTCATCATCCACATCTTCTATACTTTCTTCATCTGCATTCCGTTTTTGTTTTTCTTTAACAATAGCAACTTTTTTATAATACCTAAAATAAAATTCATGTCATATATTGGATAATTTTACTAAAGGAATTACTTTACTATAATCAAAGCACCTATGACCATTCACCAAAACAAGTGTAAAAGCTGTTAACTCAGTTGGAAATAAATGACTACAATTTGTATTTACTGTAGGAAAAAGTTGAATTCTACAAAAGAGTTGGAAACTTCTAAAATGTGAAGTCTAAATTTCAAATATTTAGGTTTAGTTCCTCATAAAAAATCCTCAACTCACCTTAATTAAATGGTACATGTGAAAGGTTGTTTTAAGGTCAACACTGATAAAATTATTAGAATATCGTAAAATATGGCTGACTTCTACTCATATTATTTTATCAGACTTACTGTCATGTTAGGATACAATAAAACAGCATTTTGAGATAGGATCATACACTCAAAATTCTTCACATAAAATGTTTTAATAGAGCAAATCAAACAAAATTAACAAACCATGAGGTAACAGTTCCTTTACTACTGTAAGGCATTTAGTAATAATATACCAGTAGGTTCAGGACTTATCTCTCTAGCGGCAAAGTGCATTTTGCTAATTCTGCTTAGAGCCACATTTTGGACTAATTTGGACTCATGAGTTGTCTGTCATTATGTTAGACTAATACAGATGTAAAGCCTGTTAGAAAATTACTGTATTAAAAAAAGGAAATTAAAGATTAAGTTCTACAATGTCAAGATTCATAAAACAAAAATGCTAATTAAAAACAAAACCCCCAAATTTACTTGTTTAAGTTCCCTTAAGGTATCTTAATGTCAGCGAAATGATTTATAAATTATCTTCACAAAAATGAATACTGATATGTCTAACGTTTTCAGCGTTGGCCTATGTTAACAAAGCCTTTTATGGATTCTAAACTTTTAAATTTTAACAGTTCCCCAAACAAAACTATATTAAGTATATTACCTATAGAAAAACACTTGGTCCACTGGTATTTGGCTTTCTTCTTTTGCAAGGAACTCCTTACTGTTCACTAGAAAAATTCAGTTAAAAATATTAATTTACTAAAGAAAGTCTTTTAGTGTTATTCAAGCTCTTAAGACTAAATACAGCGTACCTACAAGTCTAAAGTCTCAAAATGTCATGAAGGGGGACAGAAGGGGTCCTAGTGTGCAGAGGACAGTCTGTGGAAGAGTCTGTGTGGAGCAGAGCCAACATATGAAAGTGAGCGTCAGGCACCATGAAAGGGAGGCAGTATTTAGCTTTCTGTACATCGCAGTGAAAGAAAAGGGTCTCACACTGTCCTCCAGCTGCATCCTAGATCTTAATTTCAAGAGAGGTAAAAATTCAAACAGTTCTTTTAATAAATAATCACTTTAAACTTGCCATTTTCATCTTAGAAAAATGACAATGCCTGTTATTCTGCAAGTAGGAAGCCAAGGCAAACAGAATTATCCACACTTTTACTTAATACTGAGGAAAACTAAGAACAAGAGTAGGGAGCTACAGGCACATTAGTTTTCCCTCTTCAAAGCAGAAATTTCTGACTCATCTTGATTAAAGAGGAATTTGGCTTATTCTATTTGGGCAAGTCTTTTCACACCTCTGGACCTCTGTGAAGTAGGTTGGAAATGAAATGGTTTATAAGGTGTGTTTTCACCGTAGCATTAGAATGAAAAGGAGTTTGGATTTGGTATGCAAAGAAATGCTGGCTCTGAATAGAAAAACAAAGAGTTAGATCTCAAGATGGGTGAAAACCCATTAAAGTAGAACTTTACCACTAAGTTAACATGATGCTCTGTAACAAAACTATGGGTTTTCTGCTAAGCTCATATTAGAGAGCTTAAGATGGTCTGAATTATAAAAGATAGTAAGTACATATATCTATTGGGAAGGGGGTGGTTTTCATTGATAAAGCCACAGGTGATAGCAGAATGGCAAAATATTGGTAACTGTTAAAGCTGGGTCATGGTCACTGGGGAAGGGGTGGGGGAGAAGTTGATCATACTATTTCTTTACTTTGGATATGTTTCAAATTTTGTGTAATAAAGTTAAAAAAAAAAAAGGCCCAGTCAGACAGAGCAGACTTAGTAATGCCTACATGTCCTTGGGTATAAAAGATGGCTAATGTCTCTGGTGCTTAGGTTTTATTCTAACACAGTGGAGCACATAACACAACTTACGTGTTATCAACCTACACTATATTGTAAGTTTCAACTGCCCAGGCTTTTATAAATTATTATAGCCCTGACTGGTGTGGCTCAGTGGACTGAGCGCTGGCCTGCAAACCAAGGGCTGCTGGTTCGATTACCCGTCAGGGCACATGCCTGGGTCGCAGGCCAGGAGGCCATTTGGGGGCGAGCGAGAGGCAACTGATTAATGTTTCTCTCCCTCTATTTCTCCCTTCATTCCCCTCTAAATAACTACGTAAATAAATAAAATATAAAAAAATATTATTATTAACACTCACCAGCAAGACTATGAGTATCCTTCATAAAATGTTTTCTTTTTGGCTGCATCACAACGCTGTCCGTGTTGTCTGAAATGTAAAATCATCACAGCGTAATGTAAAACTTTAGTCATACGCTCGTACTGTTTATTAAATGTCAATACTGAAAACCAAATAATTCATCAAATAGAAGCATACCTTTGCCTTTATGTGGCTTTGGATTTCGGTATACAAATCGATCCAAGAATCTCATCAGTGTAAAATCCTGCAGTGGGTCCCCTGAATACTCAATATAATTTCCCTGAAAGATGGGGGCAATTTCAGAACTTAAATTGCATGTATGCATCCAGATGAGAAAAAAAATAAGAAATTCTAAGTATCTGTTATAATACAAAGAAGGCACAAACTGTAATAAGTGACTTCAAATATTTGTCATGCACATTATTCTTAACAAAATCAAATACACATTCTATGTATTCTATGATAAATTGCTGACTATATGGATAGGTAAATAATATAAATAATATAGGTCATTTAACCATTAACTAGGAACCAAACCCTATAGTAGCAAAGAGGAAAGGAGAAGGCAACATTTCTCTAGGAGAAAAGCCAGAATGTACTAAGTAACTGTGGTTTCCTAAAATCCTGTATTTCCACTCATCTCAGAGTGGGAACACTTAACTGCTGCCCTGTATTCAGTAAGTCATTGCTCCTTTACAACAGCAGACAAATGGGTATGATCCTATCTGATGGAGAAAATATTGTATGACCATTTATTTATTATCTAAAACTAGATTACTTACTTTTATCCTGTCTTTTGAATATTTTAGACTTACCTGAAGGATAGTCTTTGCAAATAGAGCCACAGAGGGATGA